ACTTCAGATGTCTGACAGTTCTTTGCTTCTAATCTATTAGGCAACAACCTCGCAGTCTTTTATTCACACCTGAGACTTTCTCTTTATGAGTCTGGCTACTGAAATCCAAGTAAATGCATATTCCTGTGTTATTTTCTAGCTTGAGACCTCACTGTTCTCCTTGTAAGAAAGCATAAAAATTCTCATATGAATGTCTTGACTACACCCAATCTTCACCTGCAATTTACAAAAAAAACCCTAACTTTATTTTCTTTCCTTTTCCTTCTGTTTTGCTATATTTCATCTGAAATACAGGGTAAATAATCTCTGCAAAACTGCTAATTGAAAGTTTTAGATATTTTTCAGTGTAACAAGAGAAGAAGAGTTCTCCTTATTTTAAGCTAGTGGTTCATTCACTTATTTGAGCTATTTCCCCATTTTCACTCTCAATCTTAGTAGTAAGGTTTTTGGCCTTCGTTTAACCAGGGTAGCCTCCAGAGGCCTGCAGTTAAGAATTTCAAGAGCAGTACTCACTAGTTCTCACCTCAATACTGAACATATTATTACTCTTGTGCTATGGCATTAGGAATCCAAAAAAAAAAGGGGGCAAAAAAAGCAAGCACATCATTTTTGAAGCAGGTCTTGGGTTACTTTCATATAATAAAGTTCTTACAACTAAATGGAGTATGTTAAAAAAGTAATTGTGCTGAGTGTCTGCACTGCACGTAAATCAATCAATTTTGCAAACATCCAGCATTTCTGAGAAATCCATTTGGTCTTCATTAAAAACAAAGGCTTTAAAAAAACCCAAGTCTTTTGAAAAAAAAAGCGAGAGGTGCAATTCAAACCATGTAGTAATACCATATATTGACAATCCTTATGCCTGCTAGAAAAGCTACCTAATGAAAGACATGCTCTGAAATGAATCATTTAGTTGAACCTCCCTGGTCTTCAAAGTATTATACAGAGCTCTCCAAGTGTTGCAGGACCAGTATTGTCAGGCAGGAAAGCTTGGAAAACTCTGCAGCACAGCAGCATAGTAGGCTTTCCTGCATCCCACAGAGCAGGCAACCAAGGTACAGAAACAATCACAGAATCATCTAGATTGCTAGGTTGGAAAAGCCCTTGAAGAACATCTAGTCCAACCATTAACCTCACACTGACAGTTCCCAACTACAACAGATCTGTCAGTGCTGGGTCAACCCAACTATTAATCCCCTCCAGGGATGGGGACTCCACCACTGCCCTGGGCAGCCCATTCCAACCCCCACAACCCCTTCTGGAAAGAAATGCTTCCTAATATCCAGTCTAACCGTGCCCTGGCACAGCTTGAGGCCATTCCCTCTTGTACTATTCCTTATTACTTAGTTAAAGAGACTCATCCCCAGCTTTCTGCACCCTCCTTTCAGGGAGTTGTAGAGGGCGATGAGGTCTCCCCTCAGCCTCCTCCAGATGAAACAATCCCAGTTCCCTCAGCCGCTCTTCGTAAGACATGTTCTCCAAACTCTTCAAATGGTGCAGATTTTTCCACCTCCTAACCTCTTGCATGATGCATGCTTGCATGATTGAAACAATCAGGAATGAATCTCTCCAATATCCTTGCATACAGACTATTTACTATGCCCACATGTCCTGCTGCCATGGTGTACTCTGCTCTGAAATTTCTGGTTGCACCTCATCTTCCCTTCAGTCTTTGAAAACTCATAAAATCATAGAATCACAGAATTGTCTGGGTTAGAAAGGACCTTCAAAGATCATCTAGTCCAACACCCCTGCCACAGGGGACACCTTCCACTAGCCCAGGTTGCTCAAAGCCTCATCCAACCTGGCCTTGAACCTTTCCAGGGGAGGGGGCAGCCACAGCTTCTCTGGGCAACCTGCTCCAGTGTCTCACTATCCTCATATTAAATAATTTCTTCCCAATATCTAATCTAAATCTACTTTTTTTTTCAGTTTAAAACCATTGCCCTTTGTCCTGCCACTACAGGCCTTGGTAAAAAGCTTTTATCCACCTTTCTTATAAGTCCCCTTCATATATTGAAAGGCCGCTATCAGGTTTCCCTGGAGCCTTCTCTTCTCCAGGCTGAACAACCCCAACTCTCTCAGCCTTTCTTCATAGGAGAAATGGAAAAACTCACTGCCTTCTAGTTTCTAGTATGCACTGAACATATTTTTTCCTCAGATTAGTTAAAATTACAGATCCTTATAACACACTTCAATGCTACCTTTCATTTACTCTTCCCGCAACTCATCCTCATGTGGAGCTAGACTCCATACATATGTGTGAAACATTGCAGGATGTCATCTCTGTGAAAACTGTACATGAACTGTTAAGTACATAATAATTGTTACAGATCAATGTATCACAATGGGGCGCTGACAATAGCTTTTAATCACAAATTCAATAACCTTATTTGTGGACAATACATGTCCACAAATGCAAGCTAGCTCAATAACAAGTGACTTTGTTTTGTTCGGGTCATACTTTATCACAAAGTCATTACTACAAGTAAATATAGATTAGTTAAATAATACACATAAATTACTCAGGTGTCATGTTCTCTGGCATTTTTCCTTTTCTAAGTATTCCTATTAAAATGAATATAGTAAAGCTATTCTTCAAATCCAATGGCACGTTATAGTATTTTCTTTCTAAACAACAACATTCCATTGCGTTTTTACAGCAATGAAGCATATGCCCATGTAAAAAACAATTTAAAAAAATTTGAAAATGCAGAAAATAGATAAAGAATTGTAAAAAAAAAAAAAAAAGCCATTAATCAATTTTTTAAAAGTAACATTTGCTTGTATGGGACTTAACTTCACAGCAATGAAGGACGAATTGATTTGAAATCATAGTCTTTGAAAATATGAGGTGCAAATAGGCTTCAGCTATCAGAATTCTACCATCAGCAAATAACAAAACACTATTTTGCATATGCTGCAGATGAGTTTTGAAAACTGCATTTATTTTTTAACAAGTCAGTGTTCAAGCTCACAGTATTAAAAAATCAGTGTTGTGGTTAATGCACAGGATTGGGTATCAGATGATTCAGAGTCTGGTCCTGGCTCCGCCTCAGACTTCCCCTATGAGATAATTATCTTTTCAGAGGTGACATCTAATTTTGGATAACCCTGCTCTGCCTACCAGATTTTAATATCTGGAACCCAGTTTTCAGAAAATGGTTTTAATTGACTTCAGCTGGTATAAAAAGAACTCAAAAGCTCTGGAAATCAGAGTCCTGAAACTCTGAATTTCCAGTGGTTGCCATATATATCTCTGCAAAGTGTCCACAAAATGTTACCAGTGACATAAGTGGAGAATTCAGATTTATTAATACTTTGCATCTGCTGCACATGCCTAAACAACTACAAAACATTTAGGACAATGGAGAGCCAGGTCCAGAGCATCCAGAGGCTTACCATGAGTGAGGTGTCCAGTGTCCAACACACCTCATCTGCACATTTCAGTGTTTCAGCTTTGGTCATCAGAAATTAAACTGTTTCAAATAAGAAGCCGTAGCTGAAAAGGCAGATTTTCTTTACTATAAAATTATTTGTGGCCCTTAACTTTCAGGGAAATCAGTGTAAGTATATGCCCTGCAGGGATCTGGACCTCTGTGAAAAAGCATCATCACATATACAGTGATCAAAATGCATCATGATTTACAGTGTCTGAATTCTATAACTTTATTTGATGTTGTGTTTTAAAAATTCTAAATGGCAGATGTGATACACACTAGAAATGCTACATGGAACCGAATTTGAGTTGAATTTAAAAAACAAAGTGACCCTTACAATGTGTTCCTGTGTTTATCTGGAAACGAGTCAACAAAAATAAAAGTTCTTATTCTGTAACCCTGTGACACTAAAGAGGAAAAAAATTTTCTCCACCTCATGAGAAATGTTATTGAAAAATCCCCAACAGTAAAACCATGTCCTCATCACATTTAAACAACCAAATACCTCATTCAGGAATCCTAGTGTAACCTACATGGGATCATACCATCTGTGTGAAGATGTTTTGCATTTATGCCAGTACTTCCAGCTCTGATGACTCAGAATGGGTGGTGCTTACAGGGAGGAGAACCCAGACCCTTTTGTCCTTCACAGAAATCCAGGCCTGCTGAGCACTCTTCTCCAAAGCAGTTAGACACCAGCACTGTCTTTTCTTAGCAGGAAAATAATCCTGCGTAGGCTACCATGACCACACTGCTTCTGGCACCTGAGCGAGGTTGGTTTTGATAACCAAGAAAGTTAGATATTCATGATTTGGTAAAGGTCAGAGTCCCTTAATGTTAACGAGGTAGTCATACAATGTTGGAGGTGTGTCCGTTGAGGGTTTATCTGCTCTTTAAACCATGATCTGTTTAGAAGTGTTCAGACTTCCTGAATGTTTTTAATCTACTGTATCTACTGAATGATTTTATTTTACTGTATCCAGTATATACTGGATACATATACTGATTCATAAATCCAGCAAATGATACGGAGCTAAGAGACACTTTCTGTGAATATTTCTAATCTTCTATTTTTGGTAATAATTCTGAGACAAAGGAAAAATGCCTCAATAAGAAACAAACAGATTAATGAAGATAAAAGATTAATACTAATACTTAGGTAGAATGTCCTTCCCCTGCTCTGCCAAAACAACATTGGAACCAGCCTCATTAACATAGGAACTGGCCTCAGTTTCCCCAGCCAGCCCAGAGCTGGCATGTGCAAATCCTGTACACCTACACTGAGAGAGTGGGCTCCTTAGGAACTGGTGCTAAGAAACACCCTGTTTGCTGTTCTGTGTGTGAGATGTCATCTGCTCCTCCCAGACTCTCCTTTCTCTGCTACACTGAGCAGAGCTGTAGGACAGCTGTCTCAGTAACTTATTTTCCCTTTCTGTTCTGAGCATTTCCTGTCTCTGTATGGTTTCTCTATGCTTGCACACTAGGATAAGCATGGAGCAATTAATTGGCAAGTTCATAAAAGTCTATTAAGCTCTGTATAAGATAGTGGTAGTACTTTACCTGATAAACTTCAGCACTCTGCTGTCATCATACTTTTATTATCTTCTATCATGAAGACTTGTTCTCTCACAAAAGTCACAGCAAGTCACCACACCTTCTTCTATTAGGAAACGGTGGGTAGTTTTCTCCATGGCTTTACGAGCAGCAGTGAGTGGACACTAGCTTTTTTGGAAGAGAAATCTTCTATTTACACAGTATTATGCAAAGGTTACTTTTCAACTGACTGCAAAAAACCCAAGTTATGGAGTATATATACAAAATTACCATGAAAATAGAAAGAAAATTATTTTCTTCTGTTAGCTTATTTCTTTACAACCTTCTAAGCAAGCTGCACTAACTAGAATATACACAGAATGGAATATGTGCAATATATACACAAAGAAGATAATTCAAAGGTGTATGGCACCCTGTATTTTCACTCATCAATTCACTAATTTTTAAGCTTTTCCACTTCAAGATTTCTTTGCATCATATGACTGACCTACAAAAGAAATACCAATGCCTGTGTGTTTTGGGAGTAGTTAAATTAAATCTCTGCAGCTGTAATTTATTGATAAGTACACAATGCACTGTAATATTAGCACAGTTCACGAACTTCACAAATACAGACTCTCTGCAGGATCTCTGGGGTGTTACGCTGTTCCTCAACACCACTCATGGGAACAACAGATCTTCTCCACTCACATCCCAGTGGCTGTACTGTCATGGAGAAGACATTCTCTGTTACCCTGCTTGCAGCAAATGACACAGACAAGTACAGATCACAACAAAACTTCCTTCCATTACTAACGAGGTTGCTACCATGCTCTGCAACTATTCTTCCTACAGACACTGCTTTTATTTTTTTTCCTTTAGGACAAGAAGTAATATCTCAGTTCAACTAAACTAGTAAAATAAGTATTAAAATAGTTTTCCATTCAAACCACATTTTATTTCCCTTCCCACTTTGTACATGACCTTTAATAAAACACCACAATCTTTTAAGGCTATTCAACAACTGACAGCAATAGTTGGTAGCAAGAACAGCAATGGATTTACCGACTATACCGTGCAGTACATAAGTTCCTCCTTAACAGGCCTCCTTCCAATACAGAACTTGCAACCCTTTGATATGTAATCTTTTATGCTACGATAGAAGCAGGAAATTAACTATTTATTTTGCAGTGATTGGCAGACTTCAGTATCACTATGACTTGAGTGACACTGTAATTTCTGACTGCAGTTCTCAAACTAACCCTTTGTCATACAGTGTTTTCTTTAATTTATAGTCTAAATCCCTGATAGGAAAAGGCTCATCATAAAAGTTACAGGGGATGTATATTAATGTATTAAAATAAAAATCTTAACCATATATAAGGATCTAGTGAATATCTAATATCAGAAAAGTTAGTGAAGGCAGTTTGCTCTTTAGTTGGCTCTTTTTTTCTTCAGGTCTGCCAAATTAAAAAACACAGTTTGCTTCAGAGCAGAGTAAATTTTGTCATCGCAGTACATGAGGAGGCATAGCTGAAGCATTCTGTCTGACAAGTCAACAGATGATCTGGACCCAAAATTAAATATTTCTCATTCAGAGACTGCAGATGCTTTATTCATGAGCATTAGTATGATACAGCATGGTACCATATCCAGCTTATTGAAACTAAGTCACGGGCAGGTTAAGTGATGCGTCCAGAATTATCCAGCAAGTCTAACAATAGAGTAGTAAACAGGGTGCAGTTCCCTTGTCTGAACCCTCTATGCTGGGTTCAACAAGCAGAGTGATTTCAGATATACAGATTAATTAATTTTTCTGGACAAAAAGCAGGCTTTTAAGGCAATTGCTTTATACATCTGGCTTCACCCAGCAATTTAAACTGTTTACTTGTATAAATAACAAATAATATCAAATGCCATGCCCTGAAAAATAGATTAAAATATGAGTGTTAAACACATATATATTAGAAAGCAATTCATACCCAGGTAAAGCTGTTACTGCTCCAGAGTGACCAGGATGTCCTTCCATTATAGCTGCATGGCACTGGATCAGTCCATGTTTATTTGCTCAGCCTCTTCATCCTGCTAAGTAATGCCCTGCTTCTCATTCTCAATATCTGGATGTGATTAATGTTAAAAAAAAAAACCAAACCAAACAAATATTATGGTTTATATTCTGGTATTTAAAAAATTTCTGATTGTTCCCCTTAGTCTGCAGAATTCAAGGCAGAAAAACCATTACAACCACCATTATTTATATGCAACTCATATAACTATGCAAAAAGCTTGCACTTATAGCTTATATCGTTTCTGCTATGCCTGATTGTAACAGGCCGTTCATTGATAGTGGATTGACATAGCTCATGGCACAGAAGTAAAAAGGGGGGGT